ATACATATATATATATATATATATATATATTGCTTTAGCACATAAAGATGCAGAGTTCTTGGGGATACTGATATCCCCCAACACCTTTCTTTGTGAAAAGTCAGTGACGAGCTCCACGTTCGTCGACCTGCATACGTTCCGGATGACGGCGGCGTCGGTATGTCCACCGCCTAGGAAGAAGTGCTGAATCAAGGGCTGACCTGCTGGTCGTACTCTCTTCTTTCGAAGCTGCATCAGCTTTCAGCTCAAAAGTATCGAGCAATATGTCCAGCGGTACAGTACCCGAACATACTGGAGTTTCTAGCCTGCTGTTAAAGAATAGTTGATTTTGATGTCTGGTCCACGTGTCTTGACCAACCGACACGTCGTACACCACACTACCGCGTTTGCGCAGGATACAACCTAATCCATGCCTCGTGACCTGGGCGATAATCACGGAGAGTTGTGGGCGTTCCTGTTGGGGATATCAATATCCCCAAGAACTCTGTATTTTTATGTGTGCTAGCCAATTTCCGGCATCTTCAAGGTCAAACTACGAATATATTACTATTCGCCGTGCTGGGAGTCTGGATCAAGCAACATAGTTGGGGATAGGATATTGTCACAGTCCGCATATCTTATCGTTTGCTTGCTGCGTGGTTGAACCGTAACAGTTCCCACCTTGAATGGAGCTTCAGCTGCCACCGGCATGGACCTTGGGCGGGATGGCTTAGCGGTTAGAGTGCGAATTTGCCGAGCGGATGGTCCGTGGTTCCGGCCCAACTTCTGCCTCTCGACTTCCCCTGTCTAGGCCTGGGCAACGTGGCAGTATCCCAACCCTCATGTTTCCTTCAGGTGGCATAGCGGCTAGGCAGCTGAACGACTATATGGACCTTGACTCAGTAGAGTGTGTTGGCAACCTGAACGAATACACTGCTTACAGCTTACGGCCGATGAGTGCCTCTGCGGCTGACTGGTGGTTCGCCAAAGCATCGTTCGGGGTCGTTCGGTACACAAACAGGAATCTCTGAAGGGCTTCGACGGATGTCTCCTCCCCTCGAGCTTCAAGCAAGGCTTTCTTGAATGTGTCGACAAACCTTTCTGCTTGATCATTCGATTGCGGGCGGTACGGTTGTGAACGAACGTGTGTTATAGCATGTCGAGTGCAAAACTCTCGGAACTCAGCGGAAGTGAACTGCGGACCATGGTCCGAGGCGATGGGCTCCCGTAAGCCATGCTGACCGGAAGTGTCGTGTACCACACGCAGCGTACGGGATGTTTTTGAAGAGCACACCGGAACGATTTCAGGCCATTTGGAAAAAGCGCCAATCAAAAGCTGATAGGAATTGCCACGTATCGGTTCTGCGTAATCAATGTAGACCCGAGACCAAGGCTTCTCAGGTCGAGGCCAGGGAACTGATGTTTGATATGGCGGGTTCTTGGTAGCTTATTGGCACCGGAAGCAGCGTTTTACAAAATCAGTGATGTGTTGGTCTATGTGCGGCTGGTAGGCGTAACTGCGGGCTATTGAATTCATGTGGTTTATCCCTGGAAGTCCGGAATTGAACTGACGAATGGCTCGATGGCGTAAAGATTGAGGAATCATGACGTGATCTCCAAACATTAAGCAACGAGCGACAATACATCTCGGCGATGAAGGGGCTGTCAAAGGCAGTCATCTTTGAGATCCAGAGACCATCAAGAATTCACGAACTGGATCCCCTTCTAGAGTGTCGGATCAGCCATGGTAGCTTGTTGAACCACTTTTTTTTTTACCAGGAACCTACATTCGCCTGCACGTTTGAACCATGTTTACCCTAAAAACGGACGGGAAGCCGGTCAACAAAACTATCTGGAAAAGGGAATAAATGCGAGACATAACACGCAATAAATAGAAAGCCATGTTTATTAGATAGAAGTCAAATAAAGAGCGTGTAGGAAAACCGAAGGCAAATCAGAGGTAAGCTAAACCGGGCCATCTCTAAGATTGAGTTCATTGTCTGGGTAGGCTCTTTGTATGCTCTGGCCACCCGAGCCGGGTGTCTCGTTATGTTGGATGGCTAATATCTGGCTGGCTTTTTTATATTGGCGGCGGACGATGTTCCATTCGGGCCCGCTGAGTTCTTCCAGCGGTTGCGTTGAAGTAGACCAGCTAAACTGTGCTTTATAGTGTCCAGCCCACCGCTCAAGACGACGACTGTGTGTGTAGACTACCGTCCGGTCTCCGCATATTTTTTCGCCGGCACTTATCTTTTGGCCGGTTGCTCGAATCTGCTGAAATAGGACACGACTGTTGCCTGCAATGAAAGTCTCTTCCACCTTCTGGACCTTCGCGATCCAGCGGTTCTGTCTGTCACTTTGCAAGCACCTGATTACCCGGTGCTTGAAGAATCTGCGTGCCTCATCGTAGTCAATTGTTGCTGGTATAGCCTTTTACACCAATAGGACCTGCTGATCTCGACAATATCCAGTGTTCATTTATTCGAGTCCAATGGCCTGGACGGACAGTTCTGAAAACTAATAGCATAGCATCTTTAACTCGCTTTCATTCAACCTCCAAGCAGTCTTCGTTATCCTCATGACTGTGCGCTTTTAGTAGCTTTCTAGCCCGGTCAGCTCGATATTCTTGAACTGCTGGAATTTTTTGAATTTGGTGAATGGAGTTGCTCCTCTTTGGCATGGTAATTCTGATGAAAAGCGAAGTGACAACCGGATCCGCACAATGACGTGATTAGAGTCAAGCGTGCCTCAGAAGGAACGACAATCCTCAATTGAGGCTCTCCGCCGGTTATTGATAGCCACATGGTCTAACTGAATCCATGACTGTCCTGCGGTTGGTGGTTCCCAAGTAACTCGATGTGAGCGTTTGTGCTGGAAGTTCTTACTGGCCAGGAGCAGACGGTGATCAACGCACAACTGGTGCGACCTACACACTGTAGGTTCCAGGAACTACTGCGTCAGAGCCATCAGATACCCAAAGGGTGAAATGTGGAATATTTGAAGTCGTCCCAAAAGGCCTGGAGTGCACGACCGAAGTGGCGTCTCGGTGACACAGAGGGAAAACAAAGTTTCAGCAAGAGATGCCTGTTGCCCAACGTTACATAGAGTACGGATATTGGAGGCCTCTAACATGGATCAGATCTTTTCAAGTTATTAAGTGATTATTTCGGGTTATTTCTCTGGACGGTGATTTAGATACAGAACAATGGCAAGAGGAGCGGCGGATGGGTTGATTGCACTACATCATACGACAGGTGGGGTGGGGGATGAATGGTAACATACAAGGGCGAATGATACTTCCCGGTTGCCCCAGTCGAAGAAGGAGGTTTGGCTGAGTTGTTTCACCTTGAACCTTTGACTAAAAAGCCCGACTCACAAAGCAGTGGAAGGATGTAGGGTTTCGTGTGTGGATCTCTCCTCTAGCCTCTGACACAAATGACAACCATGAGGCAGTGGTTTTTAGGTTTCTCCTGGAAGACTAATAACTTAATAGTTTGACCCACTTGGTTACAGGAGTCCGGCCTCATCCGAAGATGCGGGGATTATGTCACTACTGTCTCACTCCTAACGTAGCTGCGCACAGCACGTGCCTTTTGAGCAGGACCAGACCCATTTGTTTTAAAATTATTTTGACCGTAAATACTAATATGCCAGTGGTCACGGTCAACCGTTGGGCGATCGGAGTGTGCGTTTTTTTCAGGTTTTACCTTTTCCCGGGGGAAAGGTGCATCCCCGCTTCTATAAATACGAAAATGTTGGTCGCCTGAAGGAAACGCATTACTGCATTCAGGCTCTTGTCGCTGAGGTCAGTACGAATTTACTCCAACCCGCCTCATACTACGATCTCTTGCATTACGGGGACTTGCTGTTCCTTATCGGGCCTTCCTGGCATGGTCAAACTGTGTGGAAGAGTTCCAGCCAGGAAGCGAGTTGGCTCAGTAGTTAGAGCGCCACTTTGCTGACCGGAAGGCCCGTGGTTCGAGTCCGACTTCTGCCCCTCAACTTCCTCATTATAGGTTTGGGCAACCTGGCAATATCACAACCCTCGTGCTTCTTCGTGTGACGTCGTAGCTAGGCTCCGCTTAAAAGAGTAGC